GGCAACAACTGAAAACATCAGAGTGTTATCAACATTCTTCTGGTACTAAATCCAAAACACAGCACTATGCTAGCTACTATGAAGAAAATTAACTCTATCCCAGCTGAAACCAGGACACTCGTGGATACCAGTATTACTGCACCTAAGAAAGCTCCATCAGAGCCGCAGTTTTGCTACAGCTACAATAACAAGAGCAGCAAGTCATTTGCCTGCTTCTTCCTCTTGGTCTGCAAAAGCTGACTAGAGAAAAGAGGTTAAAGAATGGATTTGGTACTTACAGATGGGCAGGGCTGTACGGCACAGTCTCTTATTCCACAATGACTGTTGTCATTCCAAAAAGGACAAGGTTTCTTTAGGTTTACCTAAAAATAACATATTCTCCTATTACACATTTCCTCCATGCACCCAAGCCAACCTTCCACACCAGAGCTTACCAACACACATCTTCAGCACCTTAGTGCAAGCCTTCAAATAACAAAACTTTGTGCGATGTTGAGCGCAGCAAGAATGGAGTTATTTATCTTAAACAAAGTTGATCACACTCATTAACTTGTCTCATACAAGATGGGTGTGCCCGTGCAGCCTGGACGGGACTGTTTGTGCTAACACAGAAGCCCAGACACACGGGTCACTGATTCCCCATCCTGAGGCTCCTGTTGAGCGATGAGAACCCGGGGTTTGGCCAGGTGGCTGGCACCCTTTAAGAGCCAAGTTACTATGGGGCAACCTTTGGCCTTGGAATATCACTCGCTTCATTCTCCGTGAACCTTAGGGGAAGTTTGCTCCCCACTGATTTTGTTTCCTTGTTCTGGGCATCTTTGGACCACAGTCTAGCCCTGTTAGAGCAGCACGAAGAGGATGTGCTGGAGCCTTGCTACCATCCTCCTGTGGCCAGAGCGTAGGCCTTCTGCTGTCAAGTCATCTGTGTTCTGGACTCATTGGTGTGCAAGCCTTCTGGGCTTGACGGGAACAAATAATTCCTTGTGTTTACCAGATCGATTGCTATCGCTCACGTCCTTGTTATCAGTACAGCTTATTCTTTTAATCTTTGCTTTGTCGTTTCTTCTGATGCTTTCACACACAGACACTTCCATTCACACTTCATTCAGACCAATCTTAGTATTTCTGTTACAAATCCCAGCACTGGAAGGGCAAAGGACATGAGCATCTTCACCAACTCACAGAAAAGAAAGACTAGGACTTGGTATGGAGTATCATTCTTCCAAAACAATTAACATCGGACAAGATTTTGTGGGTTTGGTAGAGAGGGGGAGCAGGGAAAAGCAGCGCTACCCCAGTGATTTTATATCTAGTTTGCAGTGCAGTATAGTTGGGAACTTTTAAAACTGTTCTTACAGAAGCAAAAATACTTGTTTTGTCTGCGGAAACAATCAGGCAACAGTCACTGCTCAGTACCTGTATGCAACAGGTAAAATACCGCCCCATAACCCAAACACACTCAGACCAAGCCCCCTTTTAGTCACATAGCAGCAATCTCACTGTATGGGAGCAGAATCCATCTAACGACCACAGTCTGGCAGTAATGAACATCAGTTCACCTGAATGCTCGGTAACTAAACTGGGCTTTTCATGTCAATGGAGAGACACTATGAATACTCTCATTGTGTAATTCGGATCTCCAGTCATCAACATTTTTGAGCTGAAGCTCAACAAAAGAACTCATTTCATTGGTCCACTGCTTAAGAGGGAAAAATGCATTAAAAAAAATAATGTTTAAAATCATGCATCTTACAAGCATGCTGTACCACATTAAGATTCTCCTGATAACAAGAGTCCCACTTACTGACTGCATTCTTAAAAGATCAGGATTCAAATGTAAGTATCTGATTTTAAAAAGATCAGCAATAACTTCAAGGGAGATTTAGAAAAACAAAAACAAAACCGAGCAGCACACAAAATAAATACAATTCTTGTATGAGAAACTTACCTTGTAGTATCTAAAATAGTCACTTTGCAGGAGTTCATTCAGTCTAGGAAAAAGCTTGTAGTTGTTGAAGGCATCAATGGTTTCTACATCACAGGCACAGTCGTCTAAATGCCCAGTAACCTGTTGGATAAAAAAACCCAAACAACCGAATATGAACAACTTAGCCAGTACTCTTTAACACTGCAGATGATAAAACAACTCGGTTTTGTTTCCTTTTACCAGCGAGTCAACTAGTTGAGTTTAACCAGAATTAACCAGCATTAAACCAGACTGTGCTGAATTGGCAAAGAACTTCTTTTGATGCATCCTTTAGCATGTGTCCTGTACTTGTTACTTGGGGACAGGGATTTTTATTTGGGAATGCTTTCCCTCTAACGCACATCGATATATTAGAATTTGCTGATGTCCGAGTAATAGGCATCAGACGGACGCTTCCACCTCCAGAAAGCAGAGGTGACAGACACACTCAACTAGGCTGTGTCACACACAGACATAAGACACACACAGCCCTTGTCTGCACATCAGACACAGTTATACAGATCATGGATGTTTCTGTCGGGGCCAAATCCAGCAAGACCCTGGCTATGGGCTGCTCTAACAGCTGTGAGCCACACGTGCTGCCAGCTCAGGTTCCCATTTGAGGCGAGCCTCCTCCGCCGTATGTCCCTCCCGTAGGATGGCATACAGGTGAGAGCTGGAGTTTGCATGAGGGACCAGTAAGGCAATAACAATGCCACCGAAGATTACAGCACTCAAAGAAAGTCCTTGTTGTTAACCAACTGCGCTGCAGCCATTTGTTTGATTTAAGCAGAACCACAGCAACTGCACCAGTCTCCCTCCTCGCCTCGGAGAGCCGTTTGGCAAGAAAACATTTGTTCTCAATCTGCTGTGGAAAGCCAATACTTCTTGCATCATCCTGAACAACTCAGCAAGCTGTGTGCAAGCCCTGAAGGAAAAAAAAAAAAAAAAAAAAAAAAGTAGAAAAAAAAAAGTAGCACAAATTCAGCTATGGCTTTTTGACACGTAGATTACTGTCCGGACGACAAAGTTGCAAAACACAGAAGTAGTTTTGCTTCCCCCACACCTCTGACAAGTACTTGGGGAAATCACCCTGGCCAAAATCAAGTATCACTACTCATTCATTCTCAACAGCACACCAGGGATTTTTCCTGGATGTTGATGTAGCAATACAACACGTGGCAAGCTGCCATACCCCAGGACCATATAAATTCAGAGTTTTAAGACCAGACAGTTGTTTTAAATCAATATTGTTGATTTACAAAGCAAAGGATGGGATGTTTGCCAGTTTGTGATAAGAAACCCTCTTAACCACTTCTGTCCTAGAAAGCCTACAGAATCCTGGTAGCAGACAGAGCAGAAACAACCTACCCCACACTATAGTTGTAGGGGGTTGTGTCCAGTCTCTGCCTTCTCCCTGTGCACAAGAAAGCTGGAAGCAGAGACAAGCAGAATAAGCCTGGAAACATCGGCACGGGCAGCTCCTTTGAAGTGTGACAGAGCACACTGCCGAGGGTGGCATAAAAGCTCCCTGGGGAGGCCAGGAACAAACCAGCAGATGGGGGACGCGCAAGACCTAAGAAGGTGCTGGGTTGTATTTAAGGTGCTCTTCACTTTTTTACTTCTAAAGCACTCAATCAGCCTAAGGATGGCTGAACACCGTGGGACAGCAAACAGAAGCAGGTATCACTGCTCCGGCAGGAAAGGCAGCAGATGACCAGAGTCACAGGCATCTCAGCAGTCAGAACCTGGAAAGGGAGTAAAGCCCTGCAAGGCTCAAGGAAAAGCCTTCCTGATTCCAAAGCAAAGGTGCTACTCCAGCCTTCACAATAAGGGCAAAAATATTTTAGTATGTACAGAGAGAAAAGAAAGAGCCACGTGAGAAACATGGGCCACCTGCCTTGACGCATTTCTGGAGAGCCCTCAGATAACTCAGTAAGACCCACAGATCAACTTAAAACCATTATAATTACTACTGTGGAAACGAAGCTCCCTGCCCTCCTTCCAAGAAGGAAGGCAGAAACGGAGCGCTTGCCCTCAGAGTACAGTCATATGAAATGGGGAAAGGGGGGAGAAAAACAGCCTGGATTAAGCATAGAGCACCCTAAAGGCAAGTTCAAGTTTCCTCCTGCTACCCTGGACACAGGAGGAAGGAATCCAGGCTTGGATCGGACTGCTCCATAGCGGGAATTAATATTTTGGAAACAACTTTTTTCAAAAGGGCTTTGATATTTTGGACTCAGCCACACTGATCTAAGGGGTAGCGAAGGGAAATCTCCTGGAGCATGCCAGAATGCTCTACTCCGCTTGAGCAAATAGTTTTTGTTAAGACCCCTTATTTGGGGAGACGCTTCTATTTCTTGTGTTCACACTGAAGCCCACCGCCTCACCCTCACACACGTACCGTATTCTGTCATGCATTTTGCATGGTAATGAAGATTAACAGCACAGCAATTAAGCTTTCCACTAGTCTGAATCACCCCTATAAAAACCAGCAGCAATGTGCCAATCCAGTTACCCAATTTAAAGCTGTTTCAAAATTTAAAAAAAAAAAACAAACAAAAAACAAAAAACCCCACACCACCCCAAAACCAACACAACAACAAACAAACCACAACAAAAAAACTAAACAACCACATATTTTATTTCCTGGAACCTTTGCATCCTTTGAGGCAGGAAGCTTACGGATTGGATCTAAAAGTGACCAACAAAAAGATTTGTGGATAATGTTCAGCTGCTCTCTGTACCCACTCTAGACAAACACGTCACTCCAGGGGAATGACATCCCTGTAAGAGGTAAAACCGGAGAACCCAGCCAGCAACCAACTAAAACAGTGCATACCACTTATGCCAGGCCTACCTTCGCTACGTCTAGCGACCAATTCAAGCCAAAACCAACCTGACAGAATGTCATCCTGAAAATAATCCAGGCTGAAGCACTACCGATGCTCCCACAAAACTCAGGAGGGGATAGGGGTCATGCTTTGGAGATGTCCAAATATCCACTGCTCCGTTTAAAAAAGCACCAGTGGGGAAATCAGCCACAATGCCACTAAGGCTCTGCAGGGGGACCATGGGCCCAGGGCAATTGGGTGAGGCTCAACAAGGCTGAGGGCCGGGTCCTACCCTGGGGTCACAACAACCCCACACAGCGCTACAGGTGTGGGGCAGAGGGGCTGGAAAGCTGCCCGGTGGAAAAGGACCTGGGGGGGTTGGTCAAGAGGGGGCTGAATATGAGCCAGCAGGGTGCCCAGGTGGCCAAGAGGGCCAACAGCATCCTGGCTTGTATCAGGAGTGGTGTGGCCAGCAGGAGCAGGGCAGGGACCGTGCCCCTGTGCTGGGCACTGGGGGGGCCGCCCCTCGACTGCTGGGGTCAGGGTT